ACACTCTACAGCTACTTCAACAGTGAATGAGAAATTAAGTTTGAGCTCTATACAAGGACTTGTTCCTTAGGTGATCTTGAGCATTTGGCTGTAAAATTATGATGTGAAAACAGTCTAAATAAGGTTTAGCAGCAGCCACCTCTATTAGCCACTGGGCCCCCTTCATGCATCACTATTGGTTTATGAATAATTAAGAAATACTAGGAATATTTCTTCCACATTTCCCATTATTTTTTCACTCCAGGACAGCTGTGTAACAACTTACTTCTGATATAGCTCTGGGTTAGATGAAAGTTTCTGAATATCAGGAAGTTGCCTGTGAGCAAGCACTAACAGCTCTCCCACAGACTTAATTTGATCCAGTCTATTAGGCTGGATCATTTCTCCCAGCTGAACACAAAGGGATGGTCTGGTGCCCACCTCAGGTTTAGATGCCGGTTCTGCAGGTGTCTGTCATGTTACCACAGGATGCAAGCACACTTTGCAATGTCCTCTCCCAGATGTTTATCCCTCTCACACACGATGACGTCTTGCATGTGATATGTGTGGTCAGCAGAAGACCACAGGCAGATGAGGTGTCAGAACAGAAGGGATCCCACAGCACGGAGGATGCCCAAGCACAGGAGATCCATCCTGAGCACGAGGGCAGTGAGAGGCAGGAACCTTCTGCATTGTATTTGTACTCACTGTGCAAGATTTTGCAGGCCTGATTTAGGAAGAATTATGTAAAAGATGTCCAACTAACCTAAAGGGGTAACAAACCACTGCTGTTGCCTTTTTTTGAGATTTTGGGTGGTTATTCTCCTCTTAGCAGCAAATATTGTAAAAGCAAACACCAAATGTTCTGGAATTAACAGCTTGTCATGGAAATAACAACAATGATGTTCATAACTCTCCAGAACTGTGCGTGAATCACACAGTGGGTGTAAAAGGATTGACACCTAATACATACGAAAACTGGAGGGGAGGGGTCATATCCCAAAGCCCCAGGCTGGAGTCCATCATGAGGAATGGTGTGGTTCCTCCTAAAACATCTGAAGCCAACATTGGTTGGATCAGAAAGGCAGAGCAGCTGGACGGCTTGCTGGTGCTCTCCAGACATTTTGTTCACCGTTTCCAAACCACATGGAGTCACCTTCAACTTTGGTCCCCAGGAACAGCTGCATTTGCTTGGTGAAGGAAATGGTCAGACCTTGTTCAACTAAATGCACCCTTCCAGTGGCTGGGGGGCTACAACAAAGCTGTGGGGGACAAGGACAGGGAGTAACAGGACAAGGGGTAATGTGTTTAAACTGAAAGAGGGAGATTGAGATTGGACATCAGGAAGAAGTTCTTCCCGGAGAGGGCAGGGGGGCACTGGGACAGGTTGCCCAGAGAAGCTGTGGATGCCCCATCCCTGGAAGTGTCCAAGGCCAGGCTGGATGAGGCTTGGAGCAACCTGGTCTAGTGGAAGGTGTCCCTGCCCATGGCAGGGGGTGGGACTGGGTGGGCTATAAGGTCCCTTCCCACCCAAACCATGCTGTGATTCTATGAAACTGCACTTTGACATACCTCTATAAGAACTGAGGGTCTGTTAAAGCAATGGGAAGACACAGATTTTTCTCTTATGCCTGCATATTAGGAGTGACTTTATGTAAGTGTCATGGAGGTAAGCAAGAGCAGAAACAGATGTGAAGCATAGCTACAAACAGGATGTGAAAATAAACTCATTACCCCATCTGCCCACCGTAAACAGCGTGAAATTAGCAGCAAGTGAGGAATAAAAATCCAGCCAAATGGCCTTTTAAAGAGAGCAGAGGGAGCTGAAAGGTCTGCTATTAGAAAAGCAGAGGCATGGAAAGCCCAAGTCATGCACAACCCGGTGCATATTCCAAGTCCCCCAGTCAGTCAGGAGCAGAGGTGGAGGAAAATCCCATGGTTGAGGGTCCGCAAGGTGCTATTTTTGTAGGCAAAACCAGAAAGGCCACTCCACCTGATTTTGCTTTTGTCCCTGGCTGTTTGGAAGCACCATCTATTTTATAAGTCACAGATTTTTTTTCCCCTAAGAGGCTCTCTTAATGTTGCATAAAATTACTCTTTCAGGGGTAGTGTGAGAAGGAAAACGTGGCGTTATGTTGTCTCAGTTGCAAAGACATTGCTAACAATAAAAGCCCCTGAATGATTTGGTTTTTAAGTGGCATGATTATGGAACGGGTCATTCATGACGGTCCACTTCAAGTTGCTTCAAGCTCCTCTGTCATAAAGCCTGAATGGGGGTGTTTTATGCCTCGGGCTCAGGCTGTAAATATTCACCCCTGGCCTTTGTTCTATGAAGCAAGTCTCAGCTTGAGGATATATTTACTTAAAATTTTGCAGAAAAAATTTCTCAAATGGTCAATCTGTTTGATTTATTTATAGCGGGATCCCAAAGTGTTTTACAGCTTTTACAGGCTGGCTGTGTTTATAGCCATCCTGGGGAGTATCTTCTGCAATTCATGTAGCAGAGAGGGGGAAGGAGGCTCATAATTTTATTTTAACCTACTTTTCTAGCAGCTGACATGACACTGGCAAAGTCATCTCTCCTAGAATAAAACCTGCTATCTTTTATCCTTGTCCAGAGGAGATCCTTTAGAGAAAACCAGGGCAAAATAAGCCAAGCACCTTTCCCATTCCACCCTCCTGCCCACCCCGCCACCTCCCCTACACACACATTGGACTCTGCTCAGATATGTAACATGGAACATTCAGTGGTGTCTGAAAGCAGAGCCTGTGAGCAGCTCCGGCTTATTTTATAGATCTCAGTGAAATTGCAGACCAAATGATATTTCAAGGAAACTTGTTCTTTGTGTTCAGAGTTCTTCAAGATATGACAGCCCAAGGCAAAGTTTCCTACATGTTGGAAATAATTTCTCTCTCCGCATTTGGCAGATCCAAACAAGCCTTGAGTGCTAAATAAAACAGGTCTATGAATAAATCAGGGGCAGGAGTACTCAAATTTGAGGTGTTGTGAGATTTGAGATAACTGAAAGCTTGATGCTGGCCATGAGGCACTTTGAAATAGTCTGGAGTTTGATGAAAGGTTTTGCATTTGAGACACCATTGGGATATTTCAGGAGGAAACCTCCTGGTGGGTTCACCCAAAGTTTGTAATAAACATAATTGAAATATCTGAACTCCAGCTGCTACCTTCTACTCTAATCAAGAGCAACAGAAGCAGCTCCTTCTTAGCAAACACCCTGCGGCTGCTCAGGGAAAAGAAAAGGAAATACTGGGCTCCAGCACTGAACTGGAAGGGGAGCAGAGACAAGTGCAGAAATTCAGGGCAGGAGAGGTAGCAGGTGGAAGGAGGAAAAAAGGGCTTTATGGAGAGATCAATAGGATTTTGGAGAAAGGGGAGATCTCATGAAGCCCTCAGAGACAGAAATCAGGGCTCCACATTTTTCTCAGGAGGTAGGATTTTCTAATATTGTCCAAGATATGTCTCACCAGGCATTGGCTCAAAAACCAAACACCCCCACCATATCTACCTTATGAAGGATGAAGTGTACTTACCATTCTGGTTCCTATCCAAAGGGAAGACAAGTCAGGTTGAGACAAAGAGTTTCTTTGGGAGGTATTTGAGAAGTCCTCCTTCAAGGTCATGACAGCAGTCTGGTTTTATACTACAGTAGGATCTGAAATTATGTTTATAGGTATGGGGACAGATTTCCCTCTTCATCACTCCCTCAAGTTGTGGTGCCATCATGCCTGATCTATGTCAACATGCTCCAGAGCCTCACACGAAGTGGAAGGACTGTGATTTGCCTTGTCCCAACACCCATCTCCTCTCCATCACCCGGGTGCTACCACCCACGGCTGACCATGTTGGAGCCTCTGGCCCTGCCATTGCCGGGGTGCAGCAATGCAGCCGTGAGCCTTAGAGTGAGCACATCCCCAGGAGTCAGCCCGGATGGGGCCAGCCTGCTTTAGAGAGTGAGACCATTTAATGGCATAGGATTGGTTTGCTCCAGGTCATGGGGGCACCGCACCACTGAGATCTCCTGAACCAATTTATTGGTGTACATGTAGCAACAATGTTTTCCTCCCACGCTTTCGTCTATCCTCTCAGTATTGGGAACAGAGCACTTTGTATTTTTACAAGTAACTTGGAGGAGAATTTCCAGAATCTTGGAAAAAGCCAGACAATACAGTGGGAGTCCCAGGGATGGGGTGACAGTGAACAAGGGCCAATTCCTGTGACACTTGTGGGTGGTCTCCATGTCAAAACACCCCACACAGAGCCATTCATAGCTTCATGGAGGTGTAGACAGAGTTAGATTGTGTGCAAGGAGGAGCTGGGGTGTCCATAGCATTGGGCTGCTGTTAACTTTTGAGGGCAGAAATAAGATAGGGAGCTGGGGGAACAAAGGGTTTGGAAAGATTTTTTTGTGCCCAGAACAAGAAAGAGCAAGCACCAGGAACTGGTTGAGTTTCTGCCACATATACTCCTTTGAGGCTGACCCTGTCCAGAGTCACATTCTCAAATCAGGAAGAACATGGTCTCCAGAGACAGCTGAACTCTCCTTTTGGCTCCTCAGCTGGACACCACATGCATCTCACTGCTGCTGGCGGCCAGGCAATATGAGAGAGAGGGTTGGGTTGAGGTGTTGAATCTCTGGTTGTGTCTTGTCTCCTTAAAAATCCCTCCCACTTCCCTTCACCCACTCCTGTTCCTCTGCGACGTTGCCGAGCAGTGCTGCAGCTCACTCAAGCAGCCAGTCCTCCCCCTCATGTGGGCAATCCATGAGCAGGAGTGTCAGGCCTGGTCATTTAAACCCTCACGTTGACCTCCTGTGGTGGGATCTGCGCACTTAAAGAGTTCAGAAGCAGCGTCGATGCTTGTAGAGTGGATGGTAACGAGAGGGATTTCCATCTCTGCATGTGAAGATGGACATCCCGGCCTGGTCCAGCTCATGGGAGACACAATCTATTTCCCACCTGGGGTTGCTCCCTCACCCTCACACCGTCTCCGGTTTTCTTGCAGAAGGTATGGCGGAAGCTGTCAGCTCAAGCAGGGACTGCCTTCAAGCAGGTGAGTCCTGTACAAACGACCCCATCTGCAGTGCCAAATTCAGGACCCTCCGGCAATGCATCGCCGGCAATGGAGCCAACAAGCTGGGCCCCGATGCCAAGAACCAGTGCCGGAGCACTGTGACGGCCCTGCTCTCCAGCCAGCTGTATGGCTGCAAGTGCAAACGAGGCATGAAGAAGGAGAAGCACTGCTTGAGCGTCTACTGGAGCATCCACCACACATTGATGGAAGGTCAGTCAAGAAGGGTACTCATTCCTGATGAGCTTCCTGAGGGGGAATTACTGCTGGGGCTTTCTGCAGAGCTCCCCAGCACCAAAGTGGCTGCAAAAAGGTCATTCCTGTAGTGTTCTGTCCCCTATCAAGACCTACTGACTAGTGTCATTTTGGGGAAAACAACCCCGAAAACCTGAAACACCACCTTCCTCTTTTTTTAACCTGGCTTCTTTTCTATTCCCAGTATACTTTAACACCTTTTGCTTGGGTAATGCATGGTATATTTTGCATCTAAGTATGCTAGCAAGGCCATGACAGCCTGGATTTTACAGAAACACTGTGCAAAGCGTGGGCAAGGAGGAAAAAACAGCATGAACTTAAAAAATATTACTCTCATGGAGGCTCTCAAGTGCACCAGTGTCTTCGAGTTAGTGAAGATTTGGGCCTGGTGACATCAAGTTGGAATTCAAAGTGTTCCCAGAGCCAGTATTTAGTAAGTTTGAATTTTGACGTTTTTTAAGAGTCATCATAAAAGTGCACCTCAGTGGCCATAACTCCTCCTTGTCAGGCTAGTGAGTATTTTATGCACCATGAAAATTAAAATAGGGAATAAAACAGAACCTTCCAGCCATGGGCTGTGAAATAGATTAATAAAACACTGCTGGCTGAAAGCTGAAAGGGAAGGTGCAGGGGTGATAACACAGGCCAAAAGGCCACGCAAAGCGAAGAAGATGGAGATGATAATGCACAGGCTGGCCAGAAAGGGAACTGCTTGATCAAGTTCCCAGAAATCTTCCAGGTGCCACAGCTTGCAGGGTGCAGAGCAGAGTGATACGCACTGACTGGGTGCTGAGGTCTCAGCACCATCCAGCATCCAATCTTTCCCGTAATTACTTGCCAGGAGAACCTGTTTGCATTGAAGTGAAGCCTGGGGAAGAGGTAGCAAGCCAGCCACTCCATTCATCTGAAACAGCCGAGTTGCAACCCCTCCCCTCCTGACCTACGTGGCCAGAAGCTTTTGGGCACAGCGGTGTCAGGAGGACACCCGGCTCTGGGGCTGCTGCTGGAAGACCTGGGAGAGGGTGGCAGGGAGTGCTGGGCACAGGCAGGGGCCAGGCGTGTGTCTCCAGATGCAGAGTAGGAGGTGGGTGTTGGGTGGCCAGGTTGGATGGGCTTCCTGCCCAGCAGCTTGGGACCTGCGTCTTGGGGATGACTGGAAGGGCTGTTACCAGAGACTGCCAAAACTCTGCCCTACTTGTCCTCTGCTGTCGTGTCCTGAGCCCCACGCTTTTTCAAGCACTGAGCTCACTTACAATGCAGATTCACGCTCCCAAACCTTTGATGTCTTTCCCTTAATTTCCCTGGGGAAATATATCTCATAATAGTCACGTGTTTCAGTGTCCTTACACATGTTTAATTGACTGAGAAAGGAAGCCAATCCACATGCTCTGTGCAGGGCTTTGTCTCTCAGTCATACATACACAGGAGGCTGTAAAAAGCTTCCTAGAATCCCTCTTATAAAATCAATTGTGGAAGTGTGTGCTCAGGGAATTTACAAAACACACTATTTACTCAGCTTCTCTTGAGCACGCCTGTGTTTAGCCACCTTCCCATTTGGAGACACAATAACATGATGACAACCTGATAACAATTCTCTGATAAGGTGCTATATCATCAGGACATAAAACTGCTACGCTGGAACATACAAATGGGCCCCTCTACAGTCAGTAACGATGCAAGATATTTCAATGAAGGTGTAAAGCTGCCTTGTAATGCACCTGTGGTAATTGCACACGGCTGTGTACCCTGGGAGCCATTTCTTCCTGACCGCAGCTGGTGATCAGCATATGCCCGGAGCATGAGGTTTGATAGTCCTTTTATCCCAGCCAGTGCATCTGCCGCTGCTGTCCATATCCATCTAAATGTCTAATAAATAAAAAAATGGTACTGAGCTGTTTGCTTCAGTAATATTCAGTGGTATCCATCAGGATGATGGGGCATTACAGACCATTGAGCGGATGAAAGGGAAACACCGGTTGAATAAAATTAGCTTCCCAGCAACTTAAAAATGAAGAGGGAAAGTTTCTGCAGGAGATGTGGGTCATTAGCTCTCTGCCAAGTAAGAAAGGGCTGTTAGCAAGGAGAAGGGGAGAGGTGTTAAACACAAAGGCCACACACACAGCCCTGCACACAGCCCCGGCTGTGTCCTAGAAACAGGTGAGGACCATTGGCCCAGGTAAGGACATATAAGAAATAGCAAGAACAGTGATGGAACCCGCCAGGTATTTCGGAAGCTGGTGGTTTGAACTCTGCCCGTGGGCAAAAGCCTGTGCTGCAGTCTGGTGTCCCCAGTAGCAAACCCTGTAAAGGGACCCACGGCTTGAGCTGTAGACAGTTGCAACTCAACAGTTCCCTGAGAGGCTGACCCACCTATAAACTATGATGTATTTTTAAAAAGCCAGCTACATCCCATTTCTTTCTCTAAGGATGTTGCCATATATCAGTTCCTGTGACTCTGAGTATCCATTTACTTATGGCCTTTAGAGCACATATTCCCTTGGACCCACTATGCAAACCTGCACCGCATTTGTTAAACCTTGTACATCTCAGGTGTTCCTCAGGAGTCTCAGTTGCCTTCTCACCAACTCCTCTTTTCAACCCAGGCATGAATATACTGGAGAGTTCCCCTTATGAGCCGTTCATCAGAGGCTTTGATTACGTCCGTCTGGCATCAATCACTGCAGGTAGGTGTGTGCTCTTACTCCAGCTGGTTCAAACAGGAGAGAACTGGCTGTGGGACCAAGCACTATGGACAAGACGGTCCTTTGTAGACTCTTGTGGTCTCTTCACAAAGCATTGCTGAGATCTTGCAATACTATTCGAAGGAGCTGCTTATGATTCCTGTGCTAAACTGTTGGTAGAACATGTCCTAGGAAGAAAAACTCATGATTTTCATTCTTTGACTTTTTCATGCCCATACTGTGAAGGTCTGGGACTGAGGGACATGGTAGGAAGGCCTCTTCCAATGAGCCATCAGAGGTGGGCTGATTCTCCATAGCACAATGATGACCCGTGCCATGAAGACACCCTGCCGAGCAGGGGCTGCTTGGATGTTGTTAGGTATGAGAATGTACTTCCACAGAGTCAAACTGTAGGCAAAAAGGTCAATTAACCCAACCCACCTGTTGATCCCAGCAACAGCTTTTAACCCCATGCCCTGAGGGCAACCTCAGGTCCCAGACCCATGTTCTGCTCTGCATAATGTAATCTGCTTAATATCATGAGCACCTTTTAACCCCCTCGAGGGCATGAACCCTCAGCTCAGCAGTTAAAAGGTCAGTCCAGGAGCTACTGAGCCATCCATCACCAACATCACAGCAGCCACCACAACCTGTGTCCAGCTCTGCTTAAGCACCAGACCCGCAGGGAAGCTTTGCCAACAGTGACTTTTGCCACCAAACGACCCATCTGGGAGCAGGTAATGTGCTCCTCGTGTGCCTCTGGCAGATGTGCCAAAGCAGCAATCCTGTTTCAGCTCTTCCCAGACTGACTCTGGAGTGGCATCTGCAGCTGGAGAGCACCCAGGCGAGTAAGGAGCAGCAGGACCCTGCAGCCAATGATGTCTGCTGTTCCCGAGATAAGGAGGCACTTGTTAGGTGAAAATGTCCAGGAACAAATCAACCCATCGGCCCTCAACAATCTGAGTAGTGAGGGGAAGCGGGGGGGTTGCTCCCTGACCTCACATCTTATTGGCTCCACTTGACTGATTTGAGCATGGAAAATGAAGCATGCACAAAACTGTTTGCTACGTCATGGTCGTCTTTCCTAGAGTCTTCCCTCTTTCTCTGGAAGTCCTACAGGGCCCTTCAGAGTACAGCAAAATCCAGGCATGGGGATTTTTATGCATGGTTAACACATTGTCAGATTTTTAAAGCAGCTGGGCTGCAAAGCTAATGGGCCCAGAGCAGCCAGGATATGTACAAAAGCATCCATCTAGGGACATGGTGTTTCTTGGTTTAACCATTTTTTTCCCTGTTTATACTCATCAACTTCTATAACACATTTTATGACCTGTCGCCCCATGCCTGCCCAGTGCCCAGGATCATATGGTCAGCATTGTCAAAGGACCCCCTCGCAAATCTATCCCAAAAAAATTCCCAATAACTTGGAGAAACCTGAGGCATCCCCTTGACCCTCTGCCAAGTGTGAGCAACAGATACACTTAACCTAATTTTACATAAACAATATATGGCCACTATTAAAATTGTACAAATGGAATTGTATCACTCCACCCTAATTGTATTGGTAATTTTAAAAAGCACATCTTCCCTTGTTGTGTGGGAAAGCCAGTGTGTTCCCCGTGATTCATTAACTGAATGGGTAATGAAACGCAAGTAAGTTTCCTACACGTTTGCTAACACCCCTCAGCATAAACCGATGCTTTAACAATATTCTTCTCTGGGCATTTTTAAAGGGAAGTACCTACATGGTAAGAACACACCAAGCACCAGTTTCACCCATCATAAAATAACTGAAAAAACTTGGAATTTGACTTCCAGCTCACTGCAAACAGTGGGGACAATGGGAAGGGAAAAATAAATGCTCTGAGAAGGAGAATCTGATAATGTCAGTGAAATGAAGGAGGGCAGCCAGTTTTGAAGTGCTCAGACTGTCAATGTTTTAACACTTGTCGGCAGTGACTGTCTGGTTTTAACTCTCGGCCAAAGATAGAGCTTGACTCTACACTGGAAATTTATCATTCTGGGGACTTTTCCTCTGTGAACAATCCTTCTCTGCTGGGGAGAAAGTCCTTCTACTGTGCTTCAGGTCATGGGCTTAATTCACAGAGGTGAAAAGCAGCTTCAAATTCATTTTCTCTCTCATGCTTGGAGGACGCTCATCTTATCTCTGATCAGACAGAGCTCAGTGTCTCAACTGACTCCTACCAGGCACTCCGTAGCATTTCCTTCTCTATAAAAAGAGCCCCAACTGTCTTTGAAGGAGCCCTAAGATCAGTGTTACACAAATACCCTTCTCTCTTACCTACTGCCCTATTTTCAGAGGAGGCCGTTAGCATATATACTCGTGAAACCCCTAATTGCCTACCAAAACCATTGTATTTCTCATCTGTCACCAGAGTTTTTGCTTTATTCTCCTGATTCTTCCCCCTTCTGCAAGTTCTCCTTCACCTTCCCTGCATCCCCAGATCACACCCCTGCTCTCCCATCCAGACTGCTAACCTGGGTCTTCTGTTCCTCTCTAAGATACCCATGTGTCAGGAGACACGGCACGGCCACTGACAGTCTTTGATCTTGAGCACCATTTTTGAAAAAGTAGGTTCATTAGAAGAGATCCCATCCCACTGGTAGATCCAGCCATGGCCATAAGTAGATGCACTTTCTAACCTAATGAATTCCATCTTCCCAGGCCTCAAATTGGCTAATTCATGTTGGCAAAGTGTCATAAAGTGCCCAGGCTAGAGCAAACCTTCATTTCGTTAGATGTAGGAACGTGGTAGTGCAGGCTCTGAGCTGTGAGGGCTCTTGTGTGGCCATGGCACCTCTTGGAAAAGGTGAGTAGGGAAAAGGGATTCATCCCTTCCGGGACACAGACAGCAAATGTGGACTTCACCCTGGTCAATGCCTTCCTAGGGAGGGTGATGGCATCACCGAGGTGGCCATGGGTGGCAGCAGGACGGGGGTGAAGATCTCAGCAGAGGGTGGTGCTGCGGGCATGGAGACCAGTGCAAAACCCCATCACCATCTCCCACCACTTCACAGGGTCTGAGAATGAAGTGACCCAGGTGAACCGGTGCCTGGACGCTGCCAAAGCCTGCAATGTGGATGAGACATGCCAGCGGCTGCGGACAGAGTACGTCTCCTTCTGCATTCGACGCCTGGCCCGGGCCGACACCTGCAACCGTTCCAAGTGCCACAAGGCCCTGCGCAAGTTCTTTGACCGTGTGCCACCAGAGTACACGCACGAGCTGCTCTTCTGTCCTTGCGACGACACAGCCTGTGCCGAACGCCGGCGGCAGACCATCGTACCTGCCTGCTCCTATGAGTCCAAGGAGAAGCCCAACTGCCTGGCACCTCTGGATGCCTGCCGGGAAAACTACGTCTGCAGGTAATGTTTGCTCACCAGGGTGGCCAATGTGGAGAGCTGTACCTCGGGCAAGCTGGGGCTCCAGCAGCAGCCCAGTGCCCAGAGCTAGTGCGCTCAACTGAAGGATCCTGTCTGGAGACACCCATCTCACCACAGCCTACTGACATTGCCTGAGTGGCTCCTTCCTATGACCCGTGGTCTTGTCTCATATTCCATACAGAAGGCGTTAACGGGCAGGGGACAGTTTGAGATGTTTGTAGTGGAGTTTTTTGGGCCTTTTCTATGGGTTTTTGACTTTGATCCTAAAGAAAGACCTGCTATGGAAATAGTTCCAGGAAGGTGCAACCTAAGCAGGGATGTGGTGTGGGGTGCTTGCCGCCACTTTCACCAATCTGTCTCTTCACTATCTCCCCTAGCTCAGAGCATCCTACAGGCACACCCAAGCTATACTACCAGCCACAGGCACTTGTGGATACATTAAAACCAGGATTTTTTCTTTTTTAATGAGGATAATTAATCATATATATTAAAATATATACCCTTCTGATAGAAGGCTGGATGTTCTAGTGCTTGCAATTTGAGTCTCAGAGTCACAGTTCTCAGTCCAGATCCACCACGTGGTATGTGACAAGGGTGGCTGGCTCCTCTGGTTCCACTTAAGCCCCCCACACATGCACAGACCCCTCCCACGGTGTACACTCACAGGTGTTTTTCCCCCAGCTGTATTATTTTCACCCCTCTATTTCTCACTGAAGTCCTTGCTATTCCAGAAGGTTGATCCACGTAGACCTCTCAGGGGTGAAGCCTGTCTGTCAGCAGGAGGTGTAAGACCATAACAGCAGCTGTACTGCACTAAGGATGGTGCTCCCAGCCCAGTGTCGGGTGTGCAGCTGCCATGAGCAGGCACCTGGAGAAGAGCACAAGTGCAAGTGTAGGATACATCTCCCAGTATTGTCCCAGCCTCTAATTACTGTGGGCTTTGGGACTTCCTGAACTGAACTTCCAGCCGTTATCCCCTACCAGCATGTCAACTTTAAATTACAATTAAAAAATTATGTCTTTCCATAAAAGGAGGTGAGAGCAGCAGCATCTTCTTAAGAGGATGGCCTGGTACAAACACCCTCACCCCTTTGAACCCCAGAAATGTGGATGAAGGAGGACAAATGAGCTATATATCTGAAGTTGACTCTGAAAGATGCAAAGCCCCTGAGCCACACCAACTCTTGTGGAGATTTCCCCCAGCTACCCAGGGAATCTGGAACAGAGGTGTACAGCCCTCTCCCCAGCAAGGCAAGCAGGCCCAGTGGGGAAGAAAGGGTTCAAACGGGAGAGTGTTGCTTCCCAGGAGGCCGGAAAACATTTCCTGAAAGCAGCACAGCTGTTAATTATCTGGTTCCTTGGTCTCTGAATATATAATATAAAGCATCCTCTAGAGACACGGCGGGAGCAAGGGGTTGACATGTGACCTGGTCAAAGCTAGCAGTGCAGAAACCACAATGAGAGCCAAGAACAAATCAGGGCACTTTAAAGAAATAGAGTTAAGTACTCCAGCGCTAAGCCTGCCTGCACTGCTTCTTCACAGCTGTAACCCCCTGAATTTCCCAGCTTGGAGGGGTGGGCTCTACAACATGAATAATACAAAATCTGCAACACCCCTCCCTCAAATTATGCAGCAAATATTTGCAGCCGCCCTGATGATGGGTAGAGCATTTAATACCTGAGCCTTTGGCCATTTCCCTTTATCTGGGGATGACCTCAGCTACATTTAGAACACAGTCTTTGAAGAGAGAGAGAAACCAGACCAGAGTGATTCTCTCTTTCAGCAGACCAGCCTAAAACTGAAGGCTTAGGTCTCTGGGGGGTGGAAGTTATTACCCGAGAGTCAGATAATGGTAATGCAGAATGAAATCCCTTGCTGCCTGCAACGGCTCTTCCCTTGAAAACCAGCTTCACATACCAGAAAACAAACATTTCTTCCAAGACTGGACCTTTCTTGCAGTCCCAGAGGAAGCCTGTAAAACATTAACTACAGCACCTCTTCATCTCAAAGGGATAAAATACACTTTTGGGTTTGTTGGTGGGGGCAGGAGAGTTGAAAATTACATTAATTCAAACTGATTTAGCAACACCTACAGCAGCAAAGGATTTTGCAAATCTGCTCACTTCCGTAAACACCACCAGTGTGCTATTATGCCCCTTTTTGCCCTGAATATCTGTGCTAACGGGCCCCACTCTGTGGTCTCGCTCCACCAGGTCACGCTATGCGGAGTTCCAGTTCAATTGCCAGCCATCGCCGCAGGCTGCGAGCGGCTGCCGGAGGGAGAGCTATGCTGCCTGTCTGCTGGCGTACACAGGGATCATAGGTAAGGGGCTGTGTCCTCAGCCAGTCTCTCACCCGCTCTCCGGGTGGGAAATAACTCCTCTGCGTGCGAACCATCTCCTCTTACTCTGGCCAGCTGAAAAGTGTAAGGACAGTAAGGTGGAGGGCTGAGACTGAGATCTCAAGGAGATGCTGGGATTTCTCTCTGCAGTGACTAGAGAAGGAGCCTAAGCCATGAGAACGGGGCAACTTTAGGGTAGCTGCAGCGGAGAGAGAAAAACCATGCACCGTGGGACATCCCAGCTTCTCTCTCGGGTGGAAATAGATGGGTCAACCCAGGGCATCTGCTCTGTCAGGGGTTCCCTGATGCCATCACCAGTGGTGCCACTGGAAATCACCCCCACTGCCACCTTGCTGACTTCAGAGGGTGTCAGACTGGGTTTTCAGATGTTGCAGAGACTCACTTGGCAACAGTTAGCACAAGCCCCGCCAAAGTCCAAAGAGAAGGGCCGATGGCCATTGGACTTGGTTCCTCCCAATGGATGGGCTAGATTGACAGCTTGTTGTGTCAAGATTTCATTCTGGTTTAATCCTTCCTTCATTGCCTCTGACCATTCTGGAGCTTGAGTTTGATTTTTCCAATGACAGCGTGGAAACCTTTATGCACATTCATATACAGCTTTTGAATGTTATTAGAGAGCCTGTGTTCCCCAGACCTGCCCATTCCTTGGACCAATAGTGCATTTTAATTGACCATAGGCTTTTTTGGCCTTGGGGTGAACAAAAATTTTGTGACTGCCCCTCTTCTCCTTCCTGGGAGCAAATCCACCCTGTGACACCAGCATGTGAAGGGTTTTCTCATACTTCCATCACGGAGGGGCTCAGCTGAGGCTGTAAGCAGAGCAACCCAGGAGAGCAGCAAGGAGGAAAATCACTGCCCCTTCTTGACACAGAAGCCTTGCAGTAACACTTCTCCGTCCTTCCTGGCAGGCAGCCCCATCACACCCAACTACATTGACAACTCAACTTCCAGCATAGCTCCCTGGTGCACGTGCAATGCCAGCGGGAACCGGCAGGAAGAGTGCGAGAGCTTTCTGCACCTCTTCACCGACAATATCTGTCTCCGTAAGTATCACCCAACACGTTGCTGCTCCGGCAGCATCACCTGCAAGACGGTGAGGCTTCTTGTGAGTGAGGGAATGGAGATGCCCTGGGCCTCAAGAGTCTATAGGTGTCTGGCTCCCTGTGCTTTCAGCAAAGAAGCTCTGCAGACCATAGGGGATGCATTTGGGTAATGCAGTCAAAGAAGGCTGGAGAAGGGATGTGTGTGCTTTCCCTTGGAAACGTTGCCCTGACAACACTTTTCCTCTTCTCTCCCTCACAAAGAAAATGCCATTCTGGCCTTTGGCAATGGGACCTACCTGAATGCAGCCATGGCCCCATCCATCCCCCCCACCACACAGATGTACAAGCAGGAGCGAAATGCCAACAGAGCCGTGGCGACCCTCAGAGAGAACATCTTCGAGCACCTCCAGCCCACCAAGGTAGGAGAGGGCTGACCTGGCCTAAGAGAGTCCTGGCCATGTCTATGCCCTCCATCCTGCCTCACTTCAGCTCCCTCTGAGCTGAATCTATGTCATTTCAGCTACGTGCACAGATCCAACATGCCCCCTACCTCACAGAGTCCCTGGTTCACCCTCTTCTTCATACCCTGACATATCCTTCCCCAACACCAGGCACAGGGCTACATGCTCCTATCCTTGACTCTGCCCTGCTGCCTGCTGGTCAGCTTCTCTTTCAGGGGGACTGCAAAGGGATAAGAGCTTTTTTTTAGAAGTACTGTGAAATCCATGGGCTTTTCAGGAGTGTAGAAGGGGAGGCAGCACCACTGCTTTGGCTCCTCGCCCTCCTTCAGGGCAGCTGCATGGCTTCAGACAAGTGTTTCAGCTGCCGGGGACACAAGTTCCTCCCTTGTTAGATGAGGATCCTAGGTGTCGTATCGCAGAGGTGTAGCTGGCCAAGGTGTGCTAAGCATTAGAGAATTTCTGATGAAAGGTTCTGGTCATCAGCAAATTGTTAGTATCAAAATAATATTAAGTTGAAATTATTTTAAAACAAGTAACAGGTTAATTTGCTGATGATGGCAGTAGTAGGCATTAAATATTTTATTTCTGAATAAAAAGCAAAGACCTTGATTTGCCTACCACCAGAGTGATTTTCAGATTGAATTATTTTACTATTGAATAATTAACAGTGACCTTGATTTGCCGAATGTTCAGGTAACAGAAGCTGTCAATTAACTAGACTCCAAGGACTGAGCGTGGGCTTTGCACTGGGCTAGCTGATACCTTCAAGGAGCTTCCAGGCATTAGGGTTTTTAAGCCTCTTCCTTGTTTCCTTCATTGGGAAAATATCCGATTGATATATTGATATTTTCCACACCGTTTTCATAGAGCAGCATGTTGGGAGGTGCAGAAATGTGGCCTCAGCTCCCCTCGCTGCTTTTCAGGGCTATGGTGGCCATGGCACAGGCACACTTTCAACAGCCCATAGACTTTACATCCAGGAGATTTGAGGATTTGCGTCTCAATGGTGGTCTCCAGACTTTAGTGCAACCCAAGCAGTGGCCTGAGGTCCAGCCTTTGTGCTGAGAACTTTGCCCTGGAAGTGATGGAGAAGCTGTGAACCTCCCTCATCACTGACAGTCCAGCCCGGATAGCCAACTGCTGCTGCCACCAGCAAGTGGGAAGCTGGAGGAAGCCACTGCAGTAAGGGATGGCCCTACCACACTGCCAACCTCCACATGACAGCGGCACATCCCTCTGCTGAGGTGTGGCTGCTACTGGAGCACAGTCCTTGCTGATGCCACAAGAGAAAACAAGGAGTTGGGTATTAACTTTGGATTCAACTTCAAATCCAGATGCTGTTCAATGCTTAGTGAGGTTGGTGCCCCTGGACCTGGGGAGGAAAGCTATGACGGAGTGATTAGTCCATCTGCTTTCTATCTTCATAGCAGCAGGGACCCTTGGGAAAAAATTCTTCCTGAAGAGGGTGTGGAGGCACCAGGACAGGCTGCCCAGAGAAGCTGTGGATGCCCCATCCCTGGAAGTGTCCAAGGCCAGGCTGGATGAGGCTTGGAGCAACCTGGTGTAGTGGAAGGTGTCCCTGCCCATGGCAGGGGGTGGGACTGGGTGGACTTTAAGGTCCCTTCCCACCCAAACCATTCTGTGATTCTATGATTATCTGTTATCAACTAATGCCAATAAGGGTCTCTAGTAAGGAAAAATTTTGGCCCCAGATGTCAATGCACAGTAAAAGGAGAAGAGTGCAGTTTGCAGACAGTTGGCACCCTGGGTGGGAGTCAGCTGTGTAAACACAAGCACTGTATTTTGGAGCAATCCGCCTGACACCCAACTGCTGCTTGGTGGAATGTTGCACTGCCTTAACTGCTAGCTGGGGTTAAATCACTATAAATGCCTACCAGCCCCATGGAGACGTACTCAACACCAGGGGAAGTCTCCCGATGATGAGGCCACCAGGTCGAGCCGCTGGCTAGCAGTGCCTCCATAAGCTCCCTGGATCTCCACAGACCAGGGTGGGCGCCCACCCCACACAAAGACACCTCCAACCAGTGCCCAAACCTGTGCCCACGAGGTGACCCTGCTCTACGCTGCGGTGCTACCACCACCCTCACCACCACCTGCAGTGAGCTGACCTCCAGACCAGAGCTGGGCTGGTGAGACTATCCCGGGGTCCCTCCGCACACGCATGCACGTAGGGAGGCTGCACAGTCCCCAGGCCCTGAATGCTCAGAGGGACCAAGGCGGGGGACAAGCCCGCTGCTCACCCTGTGCTGTCTCCTTTCTCTTGCAGGTGGCCGGAGAGGAGAGGCTCCTGCAGGGCTCCACTCGTCTGTCGTCAGGGACCTCCAGCCCAGCAGCTTCCTCGCCCTGGGCAGCCTCCCCGCTGCAGATGTGGCTTCTTCCCGCTCTTGCAGTGCTGAGCCTCTTTGTGATGTGAAGCAGGGCAGGCACACGCCTGGCAGAGACTCTCTTTGTGTTGGTTTCTTTACAAAACAACCAGACCAGTAACTTCTTTCAGGGGGAGAAGGGAGGGGATGAGAAGGAGAGGTGAGTGTGTGGGCATCCCTTCCTCCTCCTCAATCCGTCTGCCAATTTATTTGATTTTATACAATCAGCATTGTCAACAACCAGCTCATTCTTTGTCCTGGCCACCTTTCCACCCCACAGCTTGGTGGTTGTCCTTCCAGCTCTCTGTGGGTGGGGTTGGAGCCATGGACAATTTAATTGGAAAAGGTGAAGGAGAGAGTTGAGCCAAGAAATGAGAACTGCGAAGGAAATGCTTTTGCCTGCCACAGGCAAGAGGGGAAAGACTTTTGATGGATGAGCTTTCAGAAGGTTTCCTGAAGGCCTGAGTCACGCTGGGAGGCTCTTGACAGGACATGTCAAGTGATGTGGAGTTCAGACTGTCTCCAGGGTTGCGCAGGACTGAAGGGTAGCCCACCTGGTTCAGGCTGAAGAAACCGGAGCACCGCTGAGAGGTGGTTGGTTTTACTCACCAGAGAGGATCCTGAAGCACCGCTGGGGTGGACCAAGCAACCACGCTACAAACTGGCTGGCGGGGATTGTCCACCTGCTTGAAACCATGGCTAGCGTGCAGCCAGCATGCCTCTCCAAGCTGTCACCTACCCCTTGGGCCCTCCTTTTTAGAGAAACATGTCACGTATTGATGGCGTTTGGGAAGAAACACGTGTGTTGTGTTCTGTTTATGGCTGGGTTTCTTTGTGTCCCAACCCTAGCACCTCTATTCACTGGCCCTGTAAAGGTTTGGGAAAGGTATTTTTTGTCACACCCAAACAACCAGATGCCAATGGTGTCCCACTCCAAGCTTACCTTTCTTCATGAGGGATGAACGTGTGAGCCCATGGGCAGGACTCAATGTGAGCCCAACACAACCCATCCTCACATACTACCGGTGCAACCGCCAGTCTTGCAGAGAGGCAGAGAGTCTTCAGTCAGGGGACTTCATTAGTTTTCCTAGGAAGAGATAGGATAGAAAAGGTTTGCTTGATACTACTCTGGGGACATAAATATCCAGCCAATTTGTGGAAAGGCCAAGTCACGAATCATGTCATGGTCAGGGAGTGGATTGCTGCGGTTCCACTCCATGAAGAGCTGGCAATCACTTGTGTCCTGGTTAGCATGCGGAGGACATTGACTCCTGCCAAGTCCTGTTTGTTCAGCCGGGAGGTCATTTAAGCAAAGGCTGGTGAAGTGACCCATTCTACTGAGCTGCAGCCAGAGCCCAGCCGGTGGGTGAGGACAAATGTCCCTCTGGTCTCTCGGGACACAGTAAGGCAGATACGTAACCTTGGCCGACTTGAGGACTTGGGGGTGTTTCCTTGAGGAGGTGAGCTGAGGACGCCCAGTGCCTTCTTGAGGGGATGAACCCCTTGCTAGATCAAGCCAAGAAAAAAAGACGGTAAGGATAAGTGAGAAGGTTTCCCAGGATAAACGCTTATCCAGGCTGACCACCACAGGAGGCAGGAATAGCTCCAGATTCTCCCTGAGTATTTGCGTCTGGGATTTGCAGCAGCCCCATTTATTCCTTGTTTTATGCTCCTCCAAGGAACATCGTTAGTTCCTTAGTTTTTGGATCCACAGAATGGCTTAGCAGCGGCTGACGCATCTAAGTCCAGCGCTTGTTATTCCCATTCCCTGCAGAACACCTTCCATTGGTTATTTCTTCAGGTTTTGCTGAGAAACTGCAGCAACTTTGCTGGGATTTGGTCCAATATGAAACCACTCTTGTTTTGAGTTAAACACCTGTGGATGTGCGAGACGTGCACCTAAATCCTCCTGTCTGCATCCTACCCAAAGTTCTGCTCCTCGAGGTCCTTGGGGCTGTAGCACCCGGCTGTCCTAACTCAGGGCAGTGTAACGGAACACACCAAGATCCAAGTCTTGTTTCCAGGGTGCCAGGTCGCACCCTGAACTGAAACTTGCCCAGGAGATCTTCACTGGTAAGAGGCTCACCCAGATCAGAAAAGCAGGCAGGGAGGTAGCGCTACAGGCAGGAAGGCCCCGTCTCTCCCTTTGGAATGCCACAGCACTCAGGTGCTGTGAACATCTCCCCTTTATCCAGGACATCGGTGTCCTCTGAGAGACCGTGGAGCCATCTGTGCACCAAGCGACACAACAGCTACCTGCAGCTCTGCAAAACTTGTGTCCTCTGAGCCATAGGTGAGAAAGGGATGAAAAGGGATGCTCAGTCCTTCCAAGGTGAGGAACTACCTCCACATCGTGAGGTCATGCTGCGAATTGCCGCCTTCTGCTGCTTTCCTTTCAAGTCCTGCAGTCATGCCCTGCTCTTCTGCACATCTGGCCTGGGAAGCCTGTCCCCACCAGCCTTCTGTCATGCATGGGCCTGGGCAGGATGGACATGCAAGTGTACCCATTCCTGCAGTCTCTCTGTGCCCCTTACAACTCATCAGCAGTGATGCTGAAATGCCACGTGGCCGTCTCCTTCTCTGGGTGACAGCCAGCAGAGATGTTTTCTAGGTGGTCAGGATGGCTGGCAACCCCACTTCAGCTCTCCCTTAAGACTGGTATGCTGTGAAAAATAGATGTGGAGAATCCTACTCGTAGACCTCCAGAGGTTACCCACTGCATTGCCATGTCCCACAGCAGGACTATTGGTATGTTTACACTTTCTGGCAGATTTATCTTAAATTATTTTTAACAATCTCAGCGAGACACATCATCATCTCTCCTGGATTTATATCTTGGTTTAAAGACTCCTTGAGGTGTTAGTTGCATCTAAACAGGTCAACTTCTCAAGTCCTCGGTTTTGGAAAGATGGCAGATCAACAGCTAAAGTACCCCAAGGCGCAGAGGGTGACAGTCAACTACCGTCACTGTATCAGAGAGGTATTGCATGAGAAGCCCAAAACACGTGGCAACAGTCTGCCAGGAGCCCTGCAGTGAGTTAGTGTAAATGGGTGTCTGCTAGAGGGGTTCCCCCCCCGTGCCCTTGACTGAGGGACCTCAAAAGCATCTGCGGAGTTGAGGTTGCAGGTCTGAAAACGCACTCCCCCTCCTCAGCCTTTGTCCTGTGCTGAGAGTGTGGATACAGTGTCCTTCCAGCACTGCCCCTGGCCAGGTCCTGCAGTCCCAGGGGCTCCCCATGGCCTGGGGATGTTCTGAAATGTAGTAAGTAAGGCACAGGGCGAGGATCCTCTTGCCCAGCAGGAAGGAGCCAGGGGGTTGGGGTGGGCAGTCATTTCACACAGAATTAAAGAAAAAAAAACAATAATCCCCAAACCAGCATGACCTTTTCCTGATAATTTCACCCTTTCGGCCAATATTTAACGCCAATTCTCCCCACAAGCCCACTCGCAGATCAAACTTTGCAAAAAGGGATGGGTTGGAGCAGTCCTTTTGGAGGAAGGCAACCCAATTCCATTCCTCCCCAACCACACACACATGCCTGTGCAGGCCATACCTCTTCCCTTGTGACAAGTCCGGAATTTTGGGGGATGAAATTTCATCTCTGCTGAACGCTGTGAAGTGAACCCCAGATCTTCACTTTGAAATCTCTCTACTAACCACCAAAGTCGTAGCAGCTGCTTGTAAAGGCAAAGGACTGAGTGAGGCAAGAGAGAGAAAGCGAGACAACTTTTCTTAGGAATTACTCCATACCTGGGGCCTTTCATAAGCACAAAGAGCCGTCATGGAGGGGAGGGGGGGAAATGAAAAAAAAAAGAAGCAGCCAAACTTTCTGTAGCCACCGAACTCTATCTTTTTGGCTGCTCAGCACCGTTCCCAGAGGTTTGGTAGCCCTGAAAGTCTGTGAAATACTGTGTATGTACAACTGCCACATCGTTGTCAAAGCAAGAGCGTGAGCAGGGAGGGAGATGCGGCGGCAGGGAGCCAGTGCTGGAGCAATAACCCCACGGGCGTCAGGGTGCTGGGAGAGGCTGCGAAGGCTGATGTCTGCCTGTACTGCTGGGGTGTAACCTGTGCGTATCTCTTCTGTACATGTCAATATTCAAACATATCCATGAATAAAGCACACATGCATTTTCCTGACGCCCTTGCTCCTGTCTGCAATGCTGTCCATGTCCGCAGGTCCAGGCTGAGGTCACTGGGCCTGTGCTGTACGGGCAGCTGGAAGAAACGGGGGGATGTTTTCAGGGCTCAGCTACACCATGCCTGTCTGGAAACCCAGCTCTGACCTTACACCCCCTGTAAGGGCGACTCTGCTGAGAGAGAGAGAGACATCGGTGCCACCCAGGAAGGGGATGCGGACCCAGCCAGCCCTGGGGCTGCTTGTGCTGCGCGTGGCAGTGAAGTGTGATGAGATTTGGGAGCATTGTGGGCAAGACTTGGGCTTGTTCAGCCTGGAGCAGAGGAGGCTCTGAGGAGACCTCATTGCAGCTTTCCAGTATCTGAAGGGGCTACAAGGGTGCTGGGAGAGGACTTTTTACAAGACCCTGTAGTGATAGGACAAGGGGTAATGGGCATAAATTGAAATCAGGGAGGTTTAGATTAGATATCAGGAAGAAATTCTTCACAGAGAGGGTGGGGAGGCACTGGAACAGGTTGCCCAGAGATGTTGTGGATGCCCCATCCCTGGATGTCTTCAAGGCCAGGCTGGATGAGGCTTGGAGCAACCTGGTCTAGTGGAAGGTGTCCCTGCCCATGGCAGGGGGGTTGGAACTGGATGATCTTTGAGGCCCCTTCCAACCCAAACCATTCTATGGTTCCCACTACTGCTGGGAAGTCACCCTGTAACCCAGGGGAGGGGGGTGGAATAACGGGGGGCGGTTGCTGCTGCTACACCCTCCTGCAGGGCACGGGAGGAGGTGAGAGGGAGGAGGTGGGAGGGTGACGGTTCATGCTAGCCGGGGAGACTCCTGTTCCTGCTACAAACATCTGTGAGTGATTATTTGCAACATTAAAGAAAACAAAAGAAATCACAAGGACATTGATTAGAGG